CCGGTGCGCATGCCACGGTATCCTCGCGGCAGCTTGGCAAGGTGATAACCCTGACTGCGCCGTAGTCCTGAACAGGTCCCAATGCGGTAAACGTCCTAGAGCTGCACTCCAGGTGGCCGTCGTGCAAGGCCCCCCGGAGGGACGGTCTCTCCGACTACTTATTACCTTTGTGTCTCAAAACGCGCAGAACGAACGTGGTTCGAATCTACGTGAGTGAGCACAGTATTTTATGCGCGTCTCTGTCATAAAGGTACCGTTGCAATGCGAGGATGTGCTTGCCACTGAGGATCAGATGCCGCTTCACGCATTTGTCACAAGCTTTCGCAAAGAGCACTCCGTGCCGTATGAGATGCGAGTCCAGACGCCCAACCTTGTTCCGCTTTGCGGAAGGCTGGAGAACAATCACAAGTGGACGTTATTGGCGCGCTCGGGCCCGGTACAGCTAGGCACAGACCATGGCCGGAGAGAAGGTTCACGCCGGCCACTGGCCGCGAGAGCTGGTATTTAACTCGACCAGTTCCTTTTCTGCGTGCACTGTACTATCCACCAAGACCAAGGTCCGCAGCCTCGCGATGGAGTATTCTGGTGCGTGCTCTCTCCACTCACATCCGCCTCTGTCCAGACAAGTGAAGCACGCGCAGGGAACGCTGTCCGCGCGAAGGTGAAGAGCCACGAGAGCAGCAGCCCATACGGCTACGTCCCGACCGAGTGGATCTGCGTCCTGTTCGTCGCGCTCTTCTCCCTCTCCACAGGTGCGCCCTGTGCGTCCCTCCCCGCCCCGCGTAGGCGGCTCACCCCGTGCCCGCAGCGATGCACACCGCGCAGGCGGCGCGCACACGCCTCTGGTGGCTGCTCCCTACTGCGTGCTGTGCCGGCGTCCTCGAGATCGTCGGCTGGAGCGGTAGGCTGTGGTCGAGCCAGAGCCCGGACGCCATGACACCCTACCTGATGCAGTGAGTTGTGCCGTTCGCCGGCCCGTACGCGCTGTGCTCACCGCCCGATTTCTCGGGCTCTCTCCCTCTTCTCCCCTCCCCGGTGGTTTGCGCAGGATTGTCGCGACGATAATCGCGCCGACACCGCTCATCGCTGTGAATTTCGTCGTCCTTGCCGAACTCATCCGGCGGCTCGGGCCCTGCTACAGCCGCCTGAGCCAGCGGCGGTGTGCGTCCTCCTCGTGTACTGTCCCTCCGTGCCCAACTGACCATCCTCCCGGTCGCACACGCATCGCACAGACACGCTCATTTTTTGCGGATGTGTGAGTGCCGTCTGCGCGCGTGTTTTAGCCCCTGACCTACGCTGACGGACCGGATGCAGGATGTCGTGTCGCTCGTCGTGCAGGCCGTCGGCGGAGGCCTCGCGTCTGCGGCGGTGAACGAGGATGAGAGCCCCAATCAGGTTCGTCCTCACCAGCTCCTTGGGGGCTGCACTAACTCTCCGGCGGTGGGCAGGGCGGGTACATCATGCTCGGCGGGATCGCATTTCAGATGTGTGCGTAGCCGTCCGCGCAGGATTCGTTCGTCATAAAAGCTGACGCACACGCAGTCTCGATCACAGTGTACATGCTGCTCGCCATGGAATTCGTCTCGCGCTTCCTCCACGACAGGCCGGTGCGCATTGCTGCAGAGGGTCCGCGCACGGGCCTGGACACCAAGGCCCGGCTGATGTTCGCCGGACTGGCTCTGAGCAGCCTGTGCATCTACGTCCGGTGCGTGCGCGCTCGCTCGCTCGCCTGTTTTGCCGTTCCGGAGACTTACCCGCGTGCGGCGCAGGTCGGTGTACCGCACGATTGTGAGTGTGTCTCCCCGCGTGACGCAGCGTGTTGGGGCTGAGCCCGCGGTGCCGGCCTCCAGGAGCTCGCAGATGGCTGGACGGGGTACATCATCGAGACGCAGCGCTATTTCGGTGTGTCGCGCGGGGCCATTGCTTTGGGTTCCGGTCGTGGTTGCTTACATGCTGCGCACCGCGCGGCGCGATTGTGATTGCAGACTGGCTTGACGGGGGGATGGTCGCGCTCGCGATGTTCGCGATCAACGTCTTTCACCCTGGGCGCCTGCTGGGACCGCGCTCGACGTGGGGCGCGGCGGTGGCGTGCACTGCGGACACGGTCCAATATAGCGCGAGCGGAAAGGGGAAGACGATGCAGGACGGCGAGGAGGAGGACGAGGACGAGGGCGGGCTGATGTAGGCCAGTGGACGGACAAGCGCATTGTGCGATGGATTCACTCGTTTTTGGTTACTTTTCGTCGACTGTCAATAATGGCTGCAGTAAAATTAATCGTAAAGGCTTTGCGGGCCGAATGCTTCTCCGAGGAGGACGGAGACGGATATAGACAGAGATGCGCGGCGGCCGTTCCGTCTCCGAGATGACCGAGGCTGATGATGTATCCACCGATCGCAGCCACCGCCGCCGCGTCGGTCG